AGATTGGTTCTTAGGTCCTTCATTGTTTGATCTTTGTGTGTTCTGATTGCTGACCCCTTTGCGGTGATAGCATTGAGCTGCACGGTGACCTCGTTTCCCACAAACGAAACATTCACCACTTCTTCCTTTTTTTTCTGAATTTTTCCATTCTTGAAATGATTATTGTTGTTGTTTTTGGAGTTCCTCTTTTGGTTTCTATTTTCGTCACCAGCTTTTGGCCTGTCAAAGCCAATACTTGTTTCAACAACGTTAGCTATTATATTATCATAAAGAATACCAGACATGTACACATTATTGCAGGATTTTCCATTTATAGGCAATCAATTTACTAGGGAAAGATCCCGCGGCACAATGGATATGGTGGAGGAGAAACTAGATCGGATTCTTAAAATTGATACTTGGCTAATACTGTATGAAAGGGCCAAGGCTCAATCACTCATTGTTCTATATAGTGATCATTTACCTCTCTTGTTTACCCCAGTGTTAGTCAAATCAGTTCCGAGAAAGATACTTGTGGTTGCGGGAAGATACTTGCAAAGAAATTGTAACGCAAAGTTGGGATAGAACTATGAGTTTGGATGTTTGGCCAGAATTGAGGTGTGTAGTCGTGACATATGGAATTGGGGACGAAATTACAATAAAGATTTTTTACGGAAAATTGAAGCATGCAAAGCTAAGTTAGAAAATCTTCGTTCCAGAGTTGATGGTGACGGATGCACAGAATATGGACGAACAGAGAAGGAACTACTTACTCTTCTTGAGCAGCAACACACATATTGGAAGAAAAGGGCAAAAGAGCATTGGTGGAAAAGTGGAGATTTAAACAAGAAATTCTTTCATAACTCTGTTACGGCTAGAAGGAGGTGAAATAAGATAGGAAAACTCAAGAATGATCATGGTGTGTAGGTTGATAACGAAAGTGAAATTGGAGTAGTTATGGTTGAATATTTCAGAGACTTATTCATGGTCAAAAATGGGAATATGGATGAGGTTATTGCATGTATCTACACTCACATGCAACCTGAGGAAAATGCAAGACTAATTCTTCCATTTAGTGCGGGGGAGGTGCGAGGTGTAGTGTTTCAAATGCATCCGGACAAATCTCCCGGACCGGATGGTTTTGGACCCGGGTTCTATCAACATTTCTAGGAAATAGTCGGTGGTGATGTGACTCAGTTCTGCCATAAGTTCATTGAGACTGGACAGCTGCCAACTCGAGCAAATGACACTTTCATTGTGTTAATACCTAAGAAAGGGAACCCGGAAACCATGAAGGATTTACGGCCCATAGCACTTTGTAATGTCATCTACAAGATTCCTACAAAAGTGTGTGCGAATATAATGAAATCGTTACTTGATGGAATTATATGTAGTGCTCAGGGTGCGTTTGTGCCTGGCCGGCTTATCTTAGATAACATCATGCTCGCTTATGAGGCCCATCACTATCTTAAACGAAAAACACTAGGGAAGGTTGGAGTTGCGGCACTCAAAGTCGACATGAGCAAAGCTTATGATCATGTTGAGTGGAAGTTTCTTAGAGCTGTTATGACTAAAATGGGCTTTGATAAAAAAAAAAAAAAAAAAAAAAAATGGGTCAGCATTCTGATGGCAACTGTTAGTTCGGTGCAATACCATATTCTACATGAACCGCGCAAACTGGGACCTATAATTCTTGGAAGGGATCTTAGACAAGGAGACCCGCTATCTCTTTACTTATTTTTATTGGTTGCAGAAGAACTAAGTGCACTCATTGAAAACAAAATGCAGAGGGGCCAATTGCATGGAATTAATATTGCGAGAGGAGCTCCTCCTATATCACACCTCCTTTTTGCTTATGACTGTTTTCTATTTTTGCGTGCTAATAGGGAGGAAAACATACAGATGAAGAGCATCCTGAACATGTACTCTACCGCTTTTGGCCAAAAGGATAAATTTTGATAAATCTTTGGTATGTTTCAATGCTAATGTGTAACAATAAAGCCGAAGTGAGGTCGTTCATATTCTTGGCGTAAGTCAAGGGGAAACTCGTGGGAAATATTTGGGACTTCCAACACTCGCGGGAAGAAATAAAAAGGAAATTCTCAGTTTTCTCAAGGACAAGATTTTGAATTGTATCAAAAGCTGGAATTTGAAATTTCTTTCCTGTGAGGTGTTATTGAAAACTGTTCTCCAAGCGTTACCATGTTATGCCATGATGGGTTTTCTGCTTCGGATCGGATTAGCCTTTGTAGGGATATTGAAAATGCTCTAAATGAATATTGGTGGACTGGGGCTATTGGTAGCGGAAAAGGGATGCGGTGGCGTTCATGGAATGGTTTGTGTGTGCCTAATTGCAAAGGTGGCTTGGGTTTTCGTCGACTAAGGGAAATGAACCTGGCTCTACTAGGTAAGAAGGCGTGGCGCCTTATTACAAAACCTGATTCACTGCTTGCTGGCGTCTACAAAAGTAGGTATTTTCCGCATTGTTCATTTTTTATGCCACTACGTGTAGTAATGCATCTTTTATCTGGCAAGGCATGTTGGAAGCGTAGAAAGTAATAAAACAAGGCTGCAGACGTGGTATAGGGGATGGTAGGAGTACATCAATTGGGTTTGACCCATGACTCTCTGCTGATGATGAACCATATATCACTTCCAATCTACCAGACAATATTAAAGATGCTAATGTTTTATCTCTATTTAATGCGCAGAATATGGGGTGGGACGAAGAGTGTGTACATGACATTTTTAACGATCGAGATGTGAGGTATATTCTGAATATTCCAATTAGCATGCGAAAACCTCCATATACTTGGTTTTGGTACTAGAATTCGAGAGGTAATTATTCTGTTAAGTCATGCTACAGAATGCTTGTTGGTGAGGTTCATGCTGATCGACCATGGTCGCGACTTTGGAATTTACGGGTTCCACAGAAAGTAAAGTTATTCGGTTGGAAATTAGCCTCATCTTTCTTGCCAACGCGTGATGCTCTGAACAGAAGGAGGGTCCCGTGCGATTTGCCATGCCATATGTGTTGTCATGAGGAGGAGTCGACCCATCATCTTTTTGTTGAGTGCCAAGAAGTTGGTCGAGTATGGAGCAGTATGGGGTTGCCTGTATTGCCAATCCAACAAGGTAAAGTGATTAACTGGTTTTTTCATTATCTTACTGTGTGCTTAATGTGCGTCGGTTTTGTACTTTAAGTGCGTCAGATTAATGCTTAACGTGCGTCCACCCGCATAACCGCACGGGAAGCCCCACCCACACCTGATCCCTTCCTTTTCTATATATATATATATATATATATATATATATATATATATATATATATATATATATATATATATATATATATATATATATATATATATATATATATCATACTAAAAGTTCAATAGACAATGAATCATTATGAATCACATTAAATATTATTTTTATTGTTGAAAATAACATTTTTATTTTTTTTACATACCTTGGTAAAAAAGTTTCGCTTTCAAATTTAAGTTTATTAATATTTATATATAAAATACAAACAAGCTTCAAAATGGCAAGAACTTGTACTTTTGGTAAAAGATGAGGCTTTAAGTTAAGGATTGTCTATTTTGTGCTAATTATTTTTGCATTTGGCCTTGCAGGTTAAGTTAAGCCAATTTTTCAAAAATATTTTCCAACATTTTGTCATTGATCGAGAAGTGAAGCTTACTTCTCAGTTCCGAGAAGTGCCAGAAGCAGCTCTATGACCGAGAGGTAAACTTACCTTCCGGTTACATATGAGAGTTTACTTCTCGGCTGAACTTACATTTTAGTCCAACATTTTCACTACATTTTGAAGTCTTTGGGTGTCTAAACTCGTGAACTTATATATATATTCAGTATTTATGAAAGTTACGAAACGAACAGCGTCAATATACCCCTATACGGGGGTTCGAACCTGAGACCTCTCGTTTGAGGGGTCACAACTATGTCACTCAACCATGAAACTTATTAAATAAAAAGTATATGAGTTTTTATGAAAGTTATGAAACTTATTGTAAAACTCAGTGTTGCAAAAAACCCGCCTAGGCATCGATTAATCCCCGCATAGGCGCTGGCTGTTGACTATTTCCAAAATGGTTCCTCGACTATTTCTCAGTGTATAAGCATATAATAATAGGTAAACGGACGAAAATGCACCCCCCCCCCCCCCCATTTTAACATTGAGGAGACGAAAAACCTAATGGAGAACTAAATTGAGTGAGTTTTTGAAAGTCCATGGACCACATTTGGTGCAATTGAAAGTCGAAATGCAAAATTAAAAATAAAAAATAGTCGAAAGACCATTTCGGGAAAAAACTCTTTTTAATATTGCAATTCGTTTACAATAATTAGTTTAGTGAAAATATTATTATTATTATTATTATTATTATTATTTGAGATTAATGGTTCAAATCTTATTTTATACAAAATTATTAACTTTGATCGAGAGAGAGAGAGAAAGAGAGTGTGTGTATATATCAATTGGCATTATTGTATAAAAATAAAAAATAAAAAAAAAATGAAGTGCTTCAATTAGGTATAACTTTGATGGTTAATTATGATGTCAGTATTTAAATTTTATTTCAACTACGATGTAAGTGGGTATAATTATTTTATATAAAAATAAATAAATACTTCGGATCTAACTCAAAGTCGGCTCACAAGAGGCCCCGAGCCAAATACGGAACTGGCTCAAGTAATTTAGGGTTGATCCCAATCCGTACTAGCCCAAGTTCGGGATTAATCCAGGACCGATCTAAGTTCGAACTTTAACCACCTCTACAAGTATCATTGAAAACTACTCATTTTTCATTAAGAAAAAAAAAAAAAAAAAAAAAAAAACTATATGTCGAGTATATGAGATTGGGCCAGAAGAAATAAATACGGTGATGTACTGGCCATCTCGTTTGACCAATTTTGGCTATAATAAGCCTCCAGCTCGCATCTCTTCTCTTGTATTAGCCGCTTGCCTTCTATAAATATAGCTGTCCCCTCCCTCGGTTTTCACTCACATAACATATATACTACAGCTAGTTAACCGCGATGGGTTCTCTGGATAACCACTCTGTTCATGGCTTCTCCATTCCGGCTGACACTGCTGGCAAGGTCATTACCTGCAAAGCTGCTGTGGCGTACAGTCCTGGCCAGCCCTTGATCATCGAGGATGTGCTGGTGGATCCGCCTCAGAAGCTGGAGGTTCGAATCAAGATCCTCTTCACTTCAATATGTCACACAGATCTCAGTGCTTGGAAAGGGGAGGTACATACTATTTCTGTTGTTGGATAGATTTAATTTGTTAACAAATTAAAGTTAGTGAATTTAATTTGCGGGCAGAACCAAGCTCAACGTGTTTTCCCTCGAATTCTTGGGCATGAAGCCTCTGGGTAAGTTCCGTTTAGTAATTTGGATGTGATATATATTATGTTCATGCAAGTAAGTAATGAAAAGTTGGACGACGATTAGAGTGGTTGAAAGCGTGGGAGAAGGCGTGACGGAAATGGAGGCCGGAGACGTGGTGGTGGCGATATTCAACGGGGAATGCGGCGACTGCGCCTACTGCAAATCCAGCAAGACCAATCTGTGCAAGAAGTTCAGAGTGAATCCGTTCAAAAGCGTGATGGCGGGGGACGGGAAGTGCAGGTTTTCCAGCAAAGATGGGAACCCAATCTACCATTTCCTCAACACTTCCACTTTCTCCGAATACACTGTCCTGGATTCTGCTTGCCTCGTCAAAATTGACCCACTCGCTCCACTCAAAAAGATGACCTTGCTTAGTTGCGGTGTTTCTACCGGTATCATCTAACGCCGCCTTAATTTCCTGCCCTTTTTAATATTCCACTTCTCTCTCATATTTATTATTATTATTATTATTATTATTATTATTATTATTCTTATTATTATTATTATTAGTTTTTATCCTTTTCTTTTTATGCGCTATAAATGCTAATTCAATAAGAAATTAGAAGTAATTATGATATATTTCATAGAAACAGTAAAGGTCAAAGAGTTGCTTTTCCACGTTTTCGTGATCAACTTTTATATTTATCAGAGAAGAAAGCAGAGACGACTAAGACTACAACAAAAGACAAGCCAAGTCAATTTTTAATAATAATAATAATAATAATAATAATAATAATAATAATAATAATAATAATAATAATAATAAGATAAATGTATATAAATATATAATGTCTTGTGATGATACTTTGTGCTAAAGTTTTTACCAAGTTTTACGAGTATGAATATTTTATAATAAACATGAATATATATATAATTTCACTAAGAACACGTAAGGATTTTATATAGGACTATATAGTTCTCTATTTCTCTTTGCATTACGCATGAAAAAAAAATTACTCTTTATTTTTTTTATGTAATATTATTATAATTATAATTATCTATAAATTGATGATTAATTATGAACAGACATGTATTCGATGATAAATACAAAATAGAATGTAGTATGCACTCATTAAAAATATTATATAATTAAAAAAAGGAATTACCTTTTGGATAGTTTTTTATTAGTATTTATAATTTTTAAGTTTGAAGCCCTAAACTTAAGACTTTCTCATTGTTATTAATCCGGAGATAGATGAATGAGGTAAATCACATTGTGGAGCTATTTGGTACAATCGTTATACCCTACACCACGGCGCACATAGCATTGTGCGCCGCTCGCCTCCCAAAACGACGTCGTTTTGGGGTCGTTTTGGGAGGTGCGGTAGGAAGTTGCTGGGATTATGTGTATTTGTTCACACAGTTATGTACATTTTTTATACAATTATGTACATTCTTTTTATACAATTATGTACATCCGAATCAGAAAATTTGTGTATATTATGTTAATAGTTGATGTGTATTATGTTAAAAGTTTATGTCTATTATGTATTATGTTAGATTATGTGTATTATCTTTTAAAAAGAGTATGTATATTTTGTTATATAATTATGTACATTCATGTATACAATTATGTGTATTCTAGTATAACATTATGTACATTCTTGAACAGCGAGTTTTTTTTAAAGAAGAAACTACTGCCATTCACTGGGGCGGAAAATTTCAAAAAAAACAAATTAAAACGACGTCGTTTTGCATCTAGGCGCATAGTGCAACGCGCGCCGTGGTGTAGGATATAAATTGCCCCTATTTGGTAAATAGTTGTTAACGGATGGGGTTAGTGGATTTGACTAGTTGATAACATTAGTTGATTGTAAAAAATATTTGGTAAATTAGCTGTTAGCTGATAGTTGATTACATGTATAATTATTTTCTCAAAAAGCTGATTTGAGCAGCTTTTTGAATTTTAGCATTTTGGAGCAATAAACTGTTATAGAAAGCTAATTAATCAAACACTCATATTGATTATTTAACCAAGTCAAACAGTTAATAGTGGTTAAATAAACCAAAATTGTTTGATATACTAACTATGTTACCAAATATGACTATATGTGCATCAACTGGTCTATATGTTCTAAATATTTTGTACATTAGTACCAATATATAAGAAGGTTAAATTCATACTTTTTTTTTTTTTTTGCGGTTTATAATTTTTCAAATTAAAAGTGGGATGTTAGGTGTTTTATTTATTTATATATTTCTTGCTTGGGAGAATAATGATGTGATATTGCAGGCCTTGGAGCTGTATGGAACACCGCCGACGTTCGAGCCGGCGAAACGGTAGCCGTTTTTGGCCTGGGAGCAGTCGGTTTAGCGGTAATTAACTGCTTTCCGCTAATTAAGATATAATCAATCCTTATTATTATCGCTCTTAATATATACTCTTAATATAATTTCATAATATAATTATAAGCACACAATTAATATAAAGAAAATTGACTTCAAATTGTCCTCCCGAGTTTAGGTTACTGGTTCAGTAAGTAGTATTTGGAGAAGAGACTAAGCTAGGTTTGGACCTCGAAAACGGTAGTGTGGGGATTATACTCAATGTGGACAGATTCTTTTTGCGTACCGACATTTGACCATGTTTGAACCATTGAGTCACCGTAATTCACATATATCCTCCCAAATGTTTTCTCAGGCCTTTAAGGTTGGAGATTCAATATTTTAAGAGAAGAAAAATGGACTTTAAACTATAATATAATTTCATATTAAATGTACCTACCGTACCGGCCTTTTTATTGACTGGACATGCATATCAATCGGGACGGTTTTAATTCGTCACATTAGCTTTATGATGTCGCCTTCTTCAAATTAAATGCAACATTTAATTTATAGCTAGCTGTTGTAGAGTGTAGACATGTAGTAAGATATAGCTATTGGTTAATAATTAATACAAGGTGTGAATCTCCATGGCCAAATTGATAAGATTGAAAACGATCTTACGCTCTGATCTAAACAATTATTTGTTTACTTGGGAAAAAGGGCTATTAGGTAAATTCACGTCCAATGACAATACATATTAATAATTCAATAATAATTACAATCTTACTATCAATATACAGGTAGTAGAAGGTGCGCGAACTAGAGGTGCGTCAAGAATTATTGGAGTTGACATTAACGCTGAGAAATGTATCAAAGGTAACGTTTGCGCATTCAATTAAATTAGTCATAATTCATAAATTAAAATTAAAGTAAAACCGAAAGGAAAATAATAATAATCATAAAATGAAGTAATAAATCATATATGTGCTCTTTTGTCCGCAGGTAAAGCAATTGGAATTACGGACTTTATAAACCCTAAGGAACTTGACAAGCCTATTCACGAGGTTAGAACATTACATGTTTACATTTTATACTAGTAAGTATAGTATTTTTTACCAAAGATCTTGTGATCGAGCGCGGCATGATTGTGACTCTCCTAAATGAAATGTCGATTCTTTGTGCTTCAATAAGTTGAGAAAGTATGTATGAACATATATTACATTATAACAGAGTTAGTAGTACTCAAAAAAATACTCCGTAGTTTTTTTTTTTTTTTTTTTTTTTTTTTGTATTATAACAATTGTTATTATATTTTGATGATAACTAGCGTGGCATTTTGTGTGGGTGCAGAAAATTCGGGAAATGACAGAAGGAGGGGTGCATTATAGCTTTGAGTGCACGGGAAACTTGGATGTTCTCCGCGAAGCGTTTTTGTCAACCAGCGACGTAAGTGATGTTGCTTTAATTTAATAATTCCTTAAACTTATTATTATTATTATTTTTATTATTATTATTATTATTATTATTATTATTATTATTATTATTATTATTATTATTATTATTATTATTATTATTATTATTATTATTATTAGGGAAAATGGCACTTTTTCCCCCTATGTTATATACTTATAGCACTTTTTTCCCCTCAATTATTTATGTAAGCACATTAGTCCCCTCAATTATTTTAAAAGTGGTGGTTTTTCCCCCTAATATATTAAATTGACATTTCTACCCTTAAAGTAAACATTTTATTTATTTTACTTCTCCAACAAATTATTGCGTATATGTAGCGATTACCACGGTTCGGTTCGAACTAAACCAGACACTATAGCAATCGAATTAAAAGCTTTCAGTTATGATTCAGATCTAAAACCCAATATTTGGATTTCAATTTATTAAATTTAAGAATAAAAAAAACTGGATCATGAACCGGCGGTTCCGGATCCCGTTCGCGATTTTGAACTGTCTATATTTTAAAATTTTATTTTTTATTTTAAAATAGTTTAAATTCAACAATAAATGTATTTTATTTTTTCAGTTCGGAACATGAACCGGCCATTCCAGTTCGCGATTTTAATAAACTCTAAATATCGCGTTTTGATTATAAATTGTAATTGGAATATTTTGGTTTGGTTACTATAGTATCTGGTTTGAACCAAATTATAGTAATAATTTATTGGAGAATAAAAATAAATGAATTATTTATTTTAAGGGTAAATATGTCCATTTAACATTTCAGGGGGAAAAAGAGCCACTTAAATAATTGAGGGGGAAAAAGTGCTATAAGTATATAACATAGGGGGAAAAAGTGCCATTTTCCCTTATTATTATTATGTCATCGTTTTCATCAATTGTAATTTGTAAACTAAATTTACGGAATTTAAGGAGCACATTAAAGTCGTATGCCGCCTAAGCTTGACCAAACAATATTGATTCAATGAATGTTAATCCGCAATAATATTATTCAAATGTTATACTATGGACCAGGGTTCGTCCATCTTGAACTGTCTATACTCATCCAAAAATTATGCTTTTACAATTGACATATTTTATATTTGTAGTTAATAGTTTATTTGTCTGTAAATAATTTGAAAGTACATAACATATATTTACCATGTTATGTGTTTGCAGTTAACATGTTATATGTTCAATTTATTTACATACATGTAAACGATTAATTGGAGATACAAAATAAATAAATGCAGACACATATATAATTTGAAGATTATTTTGGATTAGAATTCACAATGCAAGATAATTCATGTATGGTATGGTATAATTTGCCAATAATATTGGAGTCAATTTAGGGTATGGAATATACAGAAATGGGTTGTACTGTGCTTTTATTTATATATGTTTTGTTAGTTGGAGGCAAGAAGCTGTCTGTCTGTCTATCTAGTAGTAGTACAGTACTGATTTACTGACACATGATGTGGATTGGTACTGCATGTATCATGTGATTGCGTCCAAATTAGTTCCGCAGTATTAATTAAAAACTTAAACTGATAATTGGACTGACTCTCACATGATTTGCAGGGTTGGGGGTTGACGGTGATTCTGGGAATCCATCCGAGCCCACGGCTGCTGCCGCTGCACCCAATGGAGCTGTTCGACGGGCGGCGAATGGTGGCGTCGATTTTCGGGGACTTCAAAGGGAAATCGCAGCTGCCGTTGTTCGCAAAGCAGTGCATGGCAGGGGAGGTAAATCTGGACGAGTTCATAACTCACGAGATGCCCTTTAGCCGCATCAATGATGCCTTCCAGCTGCTCCTCGACGGCAAATCTTTGAGATGCCTTCTTCACTTTTGAGGTGTATGCATTCGCAATTTCGCATTCCTCCCTCCCTCCCGCTCCATCTTCGTATGCGCGCTCGCTGTTAATTGCTTTCTACATACTTATACTTATGATATGATCGAATTGAAGATCGATGATGATCTGTACAACTCTACTCTACTTAGCTTTAATTTCGATAAGCTAAGGCCATATGATATGCCTATATCTATATATAGTGTGTTTGGTTGCGATTTAATAATAAGAATAATGAGAGATCGATTTAATGTATTATTATGACAAAAACCTGTGTGTCTGTACATGCTTTTGGACATCTCATCTCCATCTGTCAAGTCATTACCAAACCATTTTTTTTTCAAAATTTACAGCAACCTCATTAGTTACAAATCTCATCCCTGGTTTTTTAGGTTTGAAAAATCTCTCCAAAATGCAAAAAATTGAATGCTCTTAGTGGTGATGTTTATTAACATATTAAAATAATAAAATAAATAAAACATTATATTATAAACTGAATTTAATTTATACTTTAATCAATAATAATAAAGATCAGTTAGTTATTGCCTAAAAAGTAAATATTAAATTTTATCAAAATGCTTTACATTATTATTAGACAAAATTAAGTATATAACTATTTTATTTTCTTGATATTTTTCAAATTTGGCAATTAAAAATTGATCACTATAATAAATTATAAAAGATAATTTGTCTTAAATTTTTTAAATAATGTTAACAATGCGTTATTATGAGACATAAATTTCTTTGATTTTGTTCTCAGCAATTGGCAGGAGGAAGGGAGGAGGGGAAAGCAATTATTATACTATGATTCTATGAACCATAGTTCACCTGGTAAGGTGGATCAATGACATAAAGTTCAATTTTAGTATATTAAAATTTTATTTTCAATACATTGAATTATCATTTTTAAAAAGTTTATTTTTATTTTAATAAATTACATAAAATAAATATTCAAAATATTAACAATAAATTTTTAATATATTAAAAATAAAAATTTATTAATGATTCATATTGTAATGTGGACCATGTTCACAGTATAAGGCCGAATGGGCATGAGGCCTTGATATGGGGCTTGTTGGGTTTTAGCTAAATGGGCCGTGCCAACGCTTCAAGTGATTAGTCCGTTGTATATTGCATTTAAAGGTGTGGAAAACATTTAGAAATAAAACTAAGAGTTAATATCACAAATGGTTCTCTGAGTATAGGGGTAGCAAACTAGCAGGGTCAAATTTTGGGTTATGCAAACTGGGTTACAGCACAGGATCCCAAATTATAGAGGGTCCCAAATTTTAGATACCCAATATTTAATTTTTACCTAGCTAGTTTGGAAATAAAAACTAAAATTTTTAAATTAAATTTAAAAGAATCTATGAAGAAATGGTAGGAATGCATGTATATTGTATTTCAACTAGGAGGTTAGAGGTTTAAAACTTTATTTTACTCCAACTTTTGTTGTTGTTGTTGTAGTAGTTGTTGTTGTAATTTATTCCATAATTTGTCTTTTGACTTTTTCTTTGCGCACAGTAATATTTTACCACCTTATTATTATTAGAAAAATTAAGGTATTGGTTTTAAAGATTGTGATTTTGGCACAGGGCCACAAAAAATCTAAAAATCGGCCCTGATGGTAGTACTCCTTTTAGTACTCGACTTTCAATTCGACCAAAAAACATATCTTGACTTTCATCTTTTACCACGAATAGTCTTCCGTTATAATTTCTGCTAAGGGTGTGTTTGGAAACCTGGAAAATGAGTTCTGGAAATCATTTTCCAAGTTTCCAGTGTTTGGATGTGCCTGGAAAATCAAGTCAACGGAAATCATTTTCCGTTGACTTTGGAAAATAGGCTTGTTTTGGAGGAAAATGACTTCCCATTTTTTTGGGGGGAAGTCATTTTCCAACTTTTACACCAACATCACACCACCACCAACATCATCAACACCATACCACCATCACCACCACTATTACCGCCGCCACCACCACTATACCCCCGCCACCATCACACCCCCACCACAACCATCACCAACACCGCAACCACTACCACCACCACACCACCACCTTCACACCACCGCCGCCGCCACCACCACTACCATACCACCGCAACCACCGTTGCCGCCACCACTACCACCATACCACCGCCACCGCCATCACCACCATACCACCGCAACCACCGTCGCCGCCACCACCACCACCACCACCATACCACTACAACCATTGTCGCCGCTACCACCGCCGCCACCACCATACCACCACAACCACCATCGCCGCCACCACTACCACCATACCACCGCCACCGCCATCACCACCATACCACCGCCACCACCACCACACCACCACACCACCGTCGCCGCCGCCACCACCACCACCATACCACCGCAACCACCGCCGCCACCACCACCACCATACCACCGCAACCACCGTCGCCGCCGCCACCACCGCAACAACACGACCACTGCCACCACCGTCATACTACTACCACCATAACACAAACACCACTACCGCCGTCGCCGCCACCACCAGCATACTACCGCAATCACCGTCACCGCTGCCACCACCATACCACAGCAACCACCGCCACCACCATCACACCGCCGCCGCCGCCACCTCCACGACCATACCACCGCAACCACCACCGTCGCCACCACCACCATACCACCGCCACCACACCACCACCGTCATATCACCACCAATTATTATTATTATTATTATTATTATTATTATTATTATTATTATTATTATTATTATATAACGAATAACACCACTACCACTACACCACCACCACCATCACCATAATATTTTTGATATATTATTAGTTTTTTTTTTTTTTGAAAAACTTAGCTATTTTTTATTATATTTAAAATTAATATTATATTATTATATATTATTATACATGTTGTAATATTCTAAATAAAATAATTAAAATGTTTAATTATACAATTCTACTCATTTTCCAGAAAATGAACTAAACACAGAAAAACAGTTTTCCATAATGCAACCAAACACTGGAAAGGAAAATGTTTTCCGGAAAATGACTCATTTTCCAGAAAACATTTTCCAGAAGTCATTTTCCTGCTTTCCAAACGGACCCTAAATGGATGTTAAATCTAAGTTAATATCGTCAAATCTAAAAATATTAAATCTTCATGGCGGAATGAAACCACAACACCCACAATTTGGAGAGAGAAAATGCTAAATGCCCTTCATTCTTCCTCAATTTTCCTTCACAACTTCAACACCCAAAATTTGGAGAGAGAAAATGCAATACCCTTCATTCTTCCCTAATTTGCCTCCAGAACTTCAACACCCATAATTTGGAGAGAGAAAATACAATACCTTTCATTCTTCCCCAATTTGCCTCTACAGCTTCAACACCCATAAAATGCCAAATACTGTTCATTCTTTCTCAACTCTCTTACACAGCTTCAACATTCAAAACATGGAGAGAGAAAATGTTGCATCAGAACATCAATTTTTTTTTTCCTTTTTTTGTGCATCCATTTATTGTCTGTATTATGATCATGAGATCGATTACTGAATTATAAGTAGCTTATGGCCTTTAACACTGCCTGTATGTTTAATTGTTCAGTGACGGATGGATTCTCAATCTGTACATTTAATGTTTTCTTTGATCGAAATTTTATTGTGAGAGGAATATGATACTATATTTTATTTTACAAATGATTTTCATTTTTTTTCCAAGAGTTTTTGCTTCGATGAAAATAAAAACGAAAAGAAGAAGAAGAAGAAGATAATTGTGTGATAATTGATAAAGTGCGGCTAAAGGGTTCTTGTACAGTATCATAGTTTGGCTGTCTGCATGTTACATGTTTGTTCAAATGCTCTGCACCATGTGTCATGTGTGTTTAACTTGTTTGTTATAAATGGGTCTTTGTAGACATTGTTACTGTGATCTAGCTTTTATCATTTCATACTTTGATGGAAGAAACATATGTCATTATGATTGAATGAGCAAAATGCTATATGACTTTAGACAAATGTGCTTTTTTTTTCCTTAGTATTAGTAGCTTCTAGGTAGTGAATTTCCAGGTTTCATCAATTGACTGAATTTGATCAAGTAAAAAGGAGCTGCCTTAGGCGTTTGGCTGGTAGCTTATTTGAATTTGTAATAGATAATTGTAATCTTTAGTATATTTTGGAAGATAATAAGTTGATGTCTATAGGAATTTTTTTTTTCGGTGTAAAACCACACATTGTGGTCCGGGTTTTTCTCTGTCCATTTTAATGGTCCAGGTCCACCCGATTCGCTCCGAGAGGCACAGAAACTGGCACTTGTGGGAATTGAACCCAAGTTATCCCGGAATTCTCCCCCACAAAGAGAGCTCATTTGCCACTTGAGCTACCCTGTTGGGTTGTCTATAGGAATTAATATGCAGTGGAAGCATTCAATTTGGAAATAATCTTCTGTTGTGTGTGTGTAACAAAGCTTTTATTATTCAATTTGAACAGTATGCTAATCTTGTTATTTGATTATAGGTTAAATATTTGAAGGAAGTATTATTTGAAGGAAATATAGTGAATATCTGGGAAGCTAGTGTATTAAACTAGAAAGAATGGATGTTGAAGCTATGAAGGAAAATTGTTGAAGAATGAAGGGTATGTATTTAGCATTTTCTCTCTCCAAATTTTGGGTGTTGAAGCTATAGAGGAGAATTGGGGAAGAATGAACTCAATGAAGGGTATTGGTTTCATTTTGCTAACAGAAATTATAACGGAGGACTATTTGTGGTCAAAAATAAAAGTCAAGGTATCCTCGACCTAAAAGAAATACTTAACATATATTTTTTGAGATTTTCATTGTCGAACATAGTTACTAAATCCCTCGCCTGAAGATCTAAGGCTGCTCCATATCCAAAGTCAAGGATTGAATCCTTAACCTTTTGGTTAAGGATGAATGAGTCCATTCCACTCAACCGCATCACCCTTCAGGTTATTTATTTATTGTATACGATAACAAACAAAAGTTTAAAATGTCACCAAATTAATTTTGAAACAAAACTTAAATTAGGAACTTAATGTACTCATACAAAATTTAAAATTTACATATTTTGATTTCTAAATATAATTCTTTTGATTATTGTTTTTTTTTTTAATGCTACTAACTCTATTACTATTACAATGTAATATATGTTTATAACTATTTTCTCAACCTAGTGAAGCACAAAGAGCCAATAACGCCTCCACTAAGGTTCGAACTCACAACCTCCCATTTGATTATTGTTCATATATATTGTTTCA